GAGAGAGAGAGAGAGAGAGAGAGAGAGAGAGAGAGAGAGAGAGAGAGAGAGAGAGAGAGAGAGAGAGAGAGAGAGTTGCAGGTCTCTGAGAATTACCAGTGAAGAGGGGTATGCGCGCTGCTTTTGTCTGCCTTACAACTGCCAGCGCAACTGGATTTGAAAAGTCGATGGCATACCTTCATGTTTTTGTTTTCTTTTTTTTCAAATGAAGGCATGGCATACCTTCATATATATATCCTCAAACAGAGTATATATATCGTCAAACAGAGTATATATATATACACACATATTGTGCTTAGACTTGCTGGCATACCTCCACCTGTTGACATATATAGAATCCTTGTCCTTCTTCTTTTTTGCATCATGCTATTGAGAGTTTGATAATGCTGTGGTTACTTTTCTGCTTTATATGTTACAGTCTTGATCGCCAGCAGGGCATGGACAAGAGTGGGGAAGGGAAGAGAGAGTGAAGGACAGAAACGGGAGAGAGGACAGGACAGAGGCATGACAGAATGCAATGGCCTATATCCGCCATGAAAAATCCCAACCAATCTCTGCCGGATTGTCGCGGCAATCGTGCTGTCTTTCACCCAAATAAACGGAAATTCTCCCTAGACGCAACTATCACGATCGTGAGCTCCATCCGGCTGAAGACCAGTTGAGGTCTCATCAGATTAGCTCTGATCATAGCTTCATGTTTGCAGCTGAGCAGATGGGTGATTAACAACTCTTCTCCTACCTCACCAGAGTCTAGCACAGAACGCCGTACTGTCCTTTCCCTTCGCCTTTCCTAAGAATATTCATGACCCCTGTATGCCTGTATGCCTAGCTGGCTAGCCATCTGCATCCATTGCTGTTGTGCTTGATAGACTATCTGCCAGTCTGTTTTGGCCTGCCTGGGGATATCTGTCTCTCCATTGTCTGTGTGCACTCAGCGTGCATTCAATAGGATCCCCCACTTGTCACTCCTCTCTCAGAGACCTAGGAAAAAAAACGAGACAGGGACAACATTCTCTCTCTCTCTCTCACATTCACATTCTGTGTGTGTGTGTGTGTGTGTGTGTGTGTGTGTGTGTGTGTGTGTGTGTGTGTGTGTGTGTGTGTG